ATGTTGGATGACGACTGGGACTTAAAGTGTGCACTGTCGCCAGTTCTGCATGAGGACTCACAAGTTGACCATCTGGTGTTCACTACGGACCGGCATGACCCTCTCTGTAGCCAGAAAACAGGAACAAAGCAAAAGTTAGATTGATGCAGCGCTTGAGCATGACGCCTACACATAGATAAACACAAGGCCTTCTGTTGTTAAACTGAGCTTCAACGTATATATAGGAGAAACCAGAATTCTGGAATACAGTGTTTCCAGTCACATTTATAACTGATGAGGTTTGGGTGTGAAAGGTAGAAAAGGACACATTTCAACACTGAGCCATGATCAGTGTTTGTTTCATCGCTCTCGACTTGTAGCTTAAATGCGCAGATGCCTCCAGTCAATCAGACACCTTAGTAACCAACTAATCCACTCAAATGACCACTTGGCACTATCTGGTGACCATCTAGTTCACCTTAGCAACAACCTAGAAACACCCCAGCAGCCAAATGTTACATCTTAGTATACACATATAGATTTCTCTTGTTCGCTCAACGTGCCCTGCGATGGACTGGTGACCTGTCCAGGGTGTATCCTGCCTTCCGCCCAATGACTGCTGGGATAGGCTCCAGCGCCCCCCATGACCCAGAAGGATAAGAGGCTTAGAAGGTGTGTGTGTGTATGTGTGTGTGTGTGTGTGTGTGTGTGTGTGTGTGTGTGTGTGTGTGTGTGTGTGTTCGCTCGACACCCATAAATTACTAGTTTTACTGATTGATATCTGTCAGCACTGAAATATTTAGTTGAGCTAACATAAGAATATTTGTTGTATTAGGTACAACTTAGTCTCAAGCAAAGTAGAGAACAAGTACAGCACAGGTGAGCACAGCCGATCAATCAATAATCTGCCACCATTCTAAGAAAGTAATATGTATTATCATATATGAAGCCACTACATACTGTATCATGTCTTGAAAAGTTAACAATTCTTAAAACCCACCTGTTCACAGGTAAGCATGAATGAATTGACACCACAAATCCTTTAGAAACAATCGCATTAACTGCCTGAACAAAATATGTAAATATTGCCATAATTCAGACAAATTGAGTGGAATAGCAGGTACTTATTTAAATAAACAGTTACAGTGGTGTTTTCCAAAAAATTACCAATTAAATTACATCACTATGTATACTTTTTCTGGCCACTTTATTGGGTAATGCTGCCCTGTATTTACTTACTTTTTCTATTGAATCAGGTCTATTAAATAAATATATATATATATATATATATATATATATATATATATATATATATATATATGTGCACTTTGTAGTTCTGCAATTGCAAACTGTGGCTGATCTTTTTCTCAGTATATTTTGATAACCCCCTTTCACATCATTCATCAATGATCAGGACCCACCACGACCACCATTAAGCAGGTATTATTGGTTAATTCTCAGCACTGCAGTGACGTGTGTGGTACTGGCACTAGTGTATCAGATACAGCAATGTTTAATCACCTCAGTGTCACTGCTGGACTGAGAATAGTCCACTGATGAAGGACTACAGGATGACCAACACAAACGGTGCAGCAGCAGATGAGCTATAGTCTCTGACTTTACATCTACAAGGTGGACCAACAAGGTAGGAGTGTCTAATAGAGTGGACAGTGAGTGGACACAGTGTTTAAAAACTCCAGCAGCACTGCTGTGTCTGATCCACTCAGACCAGCACAACACACACTAACACACCACCACCATGTCAGTGTCACTGCAGTGCTGATAATGATCCATTAATAATACCTGCTCTGTGGTGGGCCTGCGGTAAAAAAGGGAAAAATGGGGGGTAACAATGTATACAGAGAGACAGATGGACTATAGTCTGTAAGTTAGGAGCACTGTAAAAATGGCCAGTAAGCATATATGTACAGTACGTATAGGTGAGGGAGAGACAGCAAGTAAATAAGCGTCTGAATCCAACCTGCTAGATACACTCAGCTCTTAACAGATGTGATCTCTGGTCAATTTCTTTGTCACATGCAGTTTGTGAAGATGGATTCATCATGACTGCACCTAAAATGAAGAAATAAGTCAGCAAAATTAGTAACAAACGCTCACCATACAAAACAGAATGATAAAGAATCCTGAACAAACAGTAAACATTATCAAAATATATCTACAAAGTGACAAGAAAAACAAAGGTTGTATGCAAAACAATACCATGTCTGGTTCAAATTCGAGTTACAGCAGTTCTGATTCATCACAATGAATCATCAGTTGTATGTAGAGTCATCGTTGACCAAATGGTTCCACCAAGTCAGGCCAATCCAGGAGTTGACCGGCGTTCTCCAGGGTGCTGAAGAGCAGGTAGAGGCATTTCAGCACCAGTGTTGTGGACAGTGAGGTGCATGTGTCCAGGAGGTGGAGCCACTCTTATTCAGCTCATCTGGGACTTACTAATGAGAGTCCAGCTGCACCTCGTCCACACGGCCTGCACCTACCCTTTAAAGAGAGAGTTAGGGGGCAGAGAGGGTGAGTCAGGTCAGGCTACCAGGTGCTCTTCTCACCTGTTTTGTTTCCCTACAGACAATTAGACGATGCCAGACTGGGGGGATTTCAGCGTCAGCCCTGTGTTTCCTCCCCACCCTTGTGGTATTGTTTCATCTTTTTTTCACTTGGGTTTCCTGTTGTTTCTATAAACAGCCCTATATTGGGTGTGGCTGACGTCAAAATCGACTCTCTCTCCTCTATGTGGCCCCAGGAGTCTTTCAGAATTAGAAAGAGTAGAATTAGCTTACATATAGTTTAGTATAGTACAGTATAACTGCTTTAACCAAGTCTGTATTAGAAAATATATGCCCCCCCCCAAAAAAAATAAAAAATAAATAAATAAAACCGTCACAAAACTGCTCTTTCACAAAGGTATTACAGTCAGTCAATAGTCACTCACAGTGAACGTGTTAACCTGTTAAGATAATTTAATTGATACTTTTTAAAATTGATTCTTTTAATTAGGCTTCCTTTTAATTTTATAATCTGTTTTATCTCTAAAAACAGTTCTTTATTTGGAAGTGTCCATACACAGATTCACCAAAAGTGTACTATAGGTTTAATGTAAATAAAACATATTACATTTTTATTGTACTGATATTTGCTTTCCTACCTTGCGTGTGTGTATTTGGGTTGGAGAGCTCATCTGGTTTGAACAGAGGATTGTATTGAATTAGCTCTGAGGAGTCTTTTGCTCTTTTGGCCATTTTTGAATACCTATGATTTTGCTTTTATATACCACATGAAAAAAATGTTACCATGGCAATACTTACTAATTTATTTCAGCACATATATGATCTGACAATTATTATTATTTTGTTTTTTAAATGATGTGCTGTATCAACATACCGGACCCAAAACCCAAATGATGCCAAATTGAATTTGAAAAATGATGATTTTTACTATAAAAAATGAATGAAACATTTTAAAGATTGTAAATGTAAACCTATAACGATAAAAAAGAGTTTTGTATATATATATATATATATATATATATATATATATATATATATATATAAGACACCACACTGATGTGATCAGTGACCTCTGAGGATTGACTTTTATTGACTGTCATAACCGCCTCTCAGTCTGCTCCAGGTACCCCTGCCTGTGGGGGGAGTTGTAGCATCTTCACTCACTCTGCTTTTGGCTGAATTGTTCAGAAACGGTTGGAGCTCTAATCAAAGTGTGTAGCAGAGCTGTGCAGATTAACTCCACACCACAAATGACTGATTTAACTCAGAGTTTGAGGCTGTGCTCTGCTCTCTCCTACCTGAGTAACACACAGAGAACAACTCTGAACCAGAGGAGTAGAAGCTTCTGTCCACATTCTGACATTAACAGAGACTCCCTGTAACACGAGCACTACAGCAGAAAGAGTGACCAGCCTGGAGATGAACAACCAGCAGAGCTTATTCCCATCCTGACCTGATCTAATCTAAACTCTTCATTCTCATTGGCTGCACTTTATTCTGGGGGGTGGAGCCCAGAGGCAGGCTGGGATATTCTAGAGTATTTAAACTGTAGATTGTAGAATAAAGCTGCCACCTGCTGGAGAACTCTTAATTCTTACATTCCAGTCCATCATCATCATCATCATCACAGAGAGTTCAGAGGACGTGATGAAGATTAATAGCTTGTAATAACTGTGTAATAAGTGTAGTTATATATTTACAATACATGAAACAGCAGTGTAAGTACTGGTGATGTGTTCCCTGTTACAGATGTGTTACAGCTGTTCAGCTCATGTTAATACACATGTTAACCTCAGTTTTTCTCATTCATCTTGACCTTTTCTGGGATTAATGTGAAGCCGTTTGTTTTCAGATGGACATCAAGACAGTCTCGTCAGTCAGGGGTCTGTTTCATGAAGCTCCATCAACCAGAGAGGATTCTGGTTCATCTTAAACAGCTTCTTTGTTAGCTTCAGTTATATATTTAGATTCTGACCAGTAGATGATCTACAGAGCCACACAATGAGAAAATGAAATTCAGTTATAAGAGCTAAAATTTGTCACTGTCAGAACAAAAGGAACTTCGCTGAGTTTTAAAGATCAGACACTCCTACAGAATTACATTCATATCACAGCATCACTGACACAATCACAGACTCAGAAGACACTGACAGTGTTTTATGAGCTTTAATAGAGAAAGAAGAGAAATGCAGAGGATGAGCTGAACACACTCAGATACACTGATTACATTATTCACTCAGATACACAGACTTTAACCTGATAACATCTCTGATTATTACTGTACAATGTAGAGATTTCAGAATATCTCAGTAACTACTGGTGGGAGTGCAGGAAGCAGAGAAGGTAGAGCTGATTACTGAGGGTGCTGTGGACCCGGAGGCTGGGCCCACCAACTGTATGCAATGTAAAGACGTGTGGAACCTGGAATTCTAAAATTAAGGTTTACCGTCACAACTGTGACATTATTTATTTGGTAAGCTTCCCGAGCATCATTACCCCTGTTACAGACCAACACAGTGAGGTACTGCACAGGAGGATGGGGCCCATTGCTGTAGCACAGATACACAGGATCTCCAGCAGTGCCAGAATTGAGGTTTTTATCAACCCTTGTGAAGTCGTCTATCACTTCATCACCGACAGAAACACGAACGCCAGTGATGCCTTGATTCCTGGAATGACGGTACCAGACAAACACTGCATCACCTGCAGGGTTCACTCCTCGGTTGGTGTCTTCATCCACATGGAAGTAGCCTTTATTAAAGAGATCTACATCTTCAGCAAAACCGATAGTAGCTGTGATGTCACAGATGTAGGTTCGTTCACTCCTCTTCACCCAGACGTAAATTGGATCTCCACCGTTGTTGTTGCGGTTCAGATCGCAGCCCAGACGCTCCCAGTTCTTGCTGAACAGTGCCGGCTCATCCTGCAGTCTAGTGGTCACCGTGATGTCCACGATGGGGACATCAAACTCAGTGATGCCACTCATGTACCACAGATGAATGGGAAAATCTGGGGCACCTTGATTTACCCTTTGAGGGATCCGGGTGAAGCCAGAATTTTTAAGACCAAAAATCATTTCCTGTCTGAATGAAAACTGGATTCTGGTGATAGGGTTGTCACCCCCCCTACTGTACCACAGGAACACATTGGGCCCCCCTGCAACACGGTTGAGGTTTACATCGATTCTGGTGAAGCCGTTTAGCTCCTGGTCCCCTTGAGTGATTTGAATTTCATTGATTGGGTCCATGTTGATCTTTGGTGGAATAACTGAAGTACCTGTTTCAAGAAGAAAGGAACTGAATTTAGACCATGTTAGTCTGTACATACTACACTGGGCAAGATTCAGAGACCACCATTCATCAATTTAGTGCCCAGTCAGGACAGCTATGAAGCACAGTGAGGATTTTTAGAACATATTTGTGAGGAGATTAGATAATAGATAATCCAATTATATAATGAAGAAGAAAATCAAAGGAAAATATGTTTGAGTTTTCACAACTAGAGCTCAAAAACTGATTATCAAACAATGGACTGACCACCCCAGAGTCCAGACCGCAACACCACTGAATGTGTTTGATTACTTCAGAAAATGATCAACCAGCTTCTGAGACTGAACTTTGGAGGTGTGTCTGCAGATTCTTTGAGGAACTGAAAGAGAGTCTCCTGAACAGAGTGGAAGCTGGAATAGAGGGAGAGAGTCTCACACTCAACACTGATAATTAGAATGACTTTTCTGTTAAATACAACTTTTCTGCTTTTTCATAACACAAAAATAAATAACTCAAAGCCCATTTAGACTGGAAACTGTATTAAAGGAAAAGTGGTCTATAATACAAAAAGATGATGATGCTGATTTTTACAGACAGGTGATGAAGCTTACCAGTAACAGAAGAAACTAGGAGTGTTAAATTAACATCATATAAGTCAATAACAGATCAGATTAAAGAGATAAAGACCAAGGAGTCGTAGAGTTTTAATGAAGCTCTGAGTTAAAGAGCTGCGTTTTCAGATGTTTATAAAAATTAAGCTCTGAGCTCGACTGTCTAATAAAAGCTGAGCTCCACAGGTTAGAAGCAAAAAGTCCTAAAGAGGCCTTACCATATATTTTATATGTATTTATAGAATTTAACAGCATTTAGAAATGCTTGAGTTTTGGATCACTAAATAAAACTATTATCAGTATCTTCTATTACACTAATAATAAAAATAAAACATAGAAAATAGCAATAATATTAATGGGCTGTACTCATGGTCATCCAGTACGAAAGTGGATGAACTTATTATACATGCACACTGATATACACAAACACTGCATCTATTCAAGACACATTTAAACGCATTTAAATGCGTTTAAACACATCTATTCAAGACACATTTAAAGACACATTACACAGAGCACAGCTTGTGTCATACACTACAGCCTTTAAATATAATATTTTACACACATAATCACAATTACATCATTTTACCGTCTTAAAAATGTTTAATTTAGTGGTTGGAATTTTAACACTATACAGTTTGGCCAGTAGAGGGAGCTCTGCACTCACTGATCCACTTCAAACTCTGCCTCTAAGCACAGCCATTGGCTGATGAGCCACTGAATGCTGTTTGTTTTTTAGGATCCCTGAATTAGAATTAGGATCGCTATTTACTAACTTTAAAAACTGATAGGTACTGTATCAGCTCCACTGACAGTATAGTTTCACTCTGTAGCTCTACAGTTTCAGACTGTAGTCCATCTGTTTCTCTGCATACGTTTTTACCCTGTTCTTCAGTGGTCAGGACCCCCACAGGACCCCACACTGTACTGTATGAATGTAAATATATATACACTCACAGCCGTCTTTCAATTCCTTGATTTCTTCACGTAAAGTAAATAATATATATATATATATATATATATATATATATATATATTATATATATATATATATATATAAAATAATAAATATAGTAAATAATAAATCACTAAGATACTGAAAAAATAATTAGCAACATACCAAGTGTTGTTCTTCTCCTCTGGTGGATGAGTGTCTCTCCCTCTGTGGAGATCTTGTGGATGGGTTCTTCTGCTGAGGTGGTGGAGAACTCTGTGGAGATCTGCTCTGGTTGAAGGTGAGGCTGGACTGATGGTTCACCTCCTTATATACAGCAGGAGAGGAGGTGGAGGAAACATTGGAGACTCTCTGGTCCAATCAGAGCGTTTTACTGAGAACTTTCCCCTTCCTGGATATAAAGACCACCAACTGTAAAGAACATTTAACCAGCATCAAAGACAAAATCTTGTAGAAACAAGAACCTTTTAAACAGAATCAAACCAGCTCTTAACCTGAGAATAGAAAACTGTGCTAACCAGGATAAAATTCTGAATGCATATGTGTTTATATATAAGCAGTGAGAGCTCTCTCTCTAGAAGAGCCCAGTACCTCAGCCAGGACTCTCCCAGAACCCCCTGCTTCCTCATAAGACCCCCACTCACTGATCAGTCCTATTTTTACATGACCTCCCTTGCATAATATGTTTTTCATATCTTTGCATTAGAAATTCTCCAAAATGAGCTCCTAAAGCACCTCCACCATTCCCACCATTCCAGGCTCTGGATCCGGATCTGTGATGGGCTAATTTTGTTCTTTTGGGAACAGATTCCATAAAACACCTTGAAACTAGTCAACAATTTTCTCTATATTTCTCATCTGTCTTCTTCTACATTTGCACCATATTAACTGAGAGATAAAAGCTCATGAATAAACAGTAATTCAGTTTGAATAATAATACACTGTTTATGCAAAAGTGTGCAGTCATATTTATTGTGAGCAGAAGAGAGAAATACACATGAAAAATGAAGCATTAACTATAATATTTTAATCTGATTTTAATGCAGTGAAGTATCCGTGTCTTTATTATCAGTCTAAAGATTTGACCCACCTGCCTGATCGTCTGTTCTTCTGGATCTCAAAGACATTCTGATCTGAAGGTTCATGATTAAATGCTTGAAATCTGTTTCTGAGACAAATATCCAAAGTGAAGTTGATGATTGTCTATCAATTTGTTCCAATACAGACATTCTGAACATATATATATATATATATATATATATATATATATATATATATATATATATATATCAGGTTGCTCCACATGAAGGGGTGGGGCTATAAAACTGTAATAATTTTAGAATTAAAGCTAATTTATAAGAAAGGAAGAAAAGTTTTTCTAAATACAGGGAATACTGTATTTTAAATGTCTGAACTCTTAAGGCTCCTGATAGCTGTGACATTTCGTAATATTAATACAAATGAGGGTGAGAGAGTTTATATTGACCCTGAACACAGAGCGAGATCACTCACAGAGAACATCTAGAAAGATCATAGTCAGTAAGTATCAAGTATTTAGCTTAAATCAAACAGCATTGACTTCCTGCCTTGGACCAAATACTCTGCAGAAGACACACAACCTGACCTGCTGACACTGAGTCCTTCTATAGAAACGTGCAGCAGGGTGAAGATGTTTCCTGTGTAGGTGTGAAAAGAAGTGAGATTAGATCTGACTCTGTGGTTTATCTTCGTTTACTGGCATAGAATCATCACCTTCTTCTAGAAGAACGGCTTCTGTCCTGAACTTCGAGTTCACCCCTGAGGGGCACATGTTCTCACATTGATTTTAAAGTATCATGTTCCAAAACGTAAGGTTTTACTCGTCACTAGCCGTAATCTTTATACTGTCTGATCTGATCTTTATACTGTCTGTTCTGATCTTTATACTGTCTGATCTAAACTTTATACTGTCTGATCTGATCTTTATACTGTCTGATCTAAACTTTATACTGTCTGATCTGATCTTTATACTGTCTGATCTGATCTTTATACTGTCTGTTCTGATCTTTATACTGTCTGATCTGATCTTTATACTGTCTGATCTGATCTTTATACTGTCTGTTCAGATATTTATACTGACTGATCTGATCTTTATACTGTCTGATCTGATCTTTATACTGTCTGATCTGATCTTTATCCTGTCTGATCTGATCTGCTGTTCTAAGATATAATCCACTGTCAGATGATGAATGTTTGAGACTTCTCATCACAAGATCAGTACCTGTCAGTACTGAAATAAAGGAAGATCTTTAACTAAGCTGCATGATTCATCTTTTATTTAACTGAATCCTTTTTCTCTAACATTGTGGTGTCACGTCAGCAAGATCCTAACTTTCCTCCAGCAAATTTCATTCCCATCTCAGATACAAGTCAGTCAAATTAGGGACTGATTGGATCTGGGAGAAACTCCACCCTACAGTCCAGTCTGAAGAGAAAACAGCTGAGAAGAAAAAGCCCTGAAAGGCTAAATACATTTTATACATCCTAACAGAGTTAAAAGAACTAAGAGCTGATTTGGCCTCATTAAAGACACTCACTGTGGAAATCACCCACATGAAACAGTACATCTGCAGCAGCCTGCTGACATACCAAAAACATGCCCACATCCATGAAAAGAGCATCTGATACAGACGTCCAGCATCATGCCACCATGTATGGTCCAGTCTGTAGCTCTAGCCAGGTTAGATAGCCCACATTTGTCCAGTCTCACTATGACCCACTCGAGTAACACCCAGATCCTCCTCACATCTTTCCCAGAAGATGATTAAACTGCATGGAGAAACATGGATGAACACTGTCTGCACTGATACAGGGGTGGCAGTAGAGGACACTTCCAAGCAGAGTGTAGGATTAAAGGGATAAAGCCATGTAAAGCAGACCTTTAAATGGGAGTGGTGACCACTGTGGGACAGGGAGTGACCAGAGACATCTGAAATGTAAAACTGTGAAAGTGTGGAATGATGGACAGAAACAGAAGACTAAAACTAAACTAAGTGTTGATCCTGTAAAATAACACTTCAAAGACCTGTCAGGTACAGCATTGGAGTGTAAATAACCGCTTCACTCTGACATCATTATTAGGGATACAGTGCTTTGTTCATGGCTAAAGAACCCAAACATTATAGGATACGGGTTCTAAGCTGTGTATTATTGATGAAGTGAGGAAGAGAGAGCACTTCCCCAAGGAGACTTTGTGCAGGTTGAGTGCTGAGTGCACACTCAGCCTTTCAAAGATTCAGCCACTCATTTTTAAGCCTGAGGTAAATCCCGAGCGGACAGAAGGCCTTGACCTCTACAAAACACTCATTTGACTGAGTAAAGGAGCTTCCAAACATAATCATTGATGTATCCAGAACCACTGATCATGACATCACACTAGCAGAGGAAACCCCATTTGGCACAGTTCAGCCTGTTGGAACAGCATTTCTATCAGTATTTTGGAGAGATCTGCCCTAAACTCACCTGCTGTTGGTCACCATGTCCAAGCCCAAAGAGGCAGTAGTTCCAGTGCCAGTCATGATGTCTGGGGTCCTCCTGTTGATTTAAACCCTCTTAGTGTACCAGAAAGGCAGGTAGTTCAACAGATTCTTAGAGAGGAATGACATTCTTTCTCCAGAACACATGACGACATTGAAAGACACTAAACCGGTCACACGCACTAACATGTCTGACCCAAAGCCTACTTAGTTGACCTGATACTACAAGGCTGGATTGAGAAGTCCAGCTCCTCACAGTCCTCCCTGTCTTATGTGTCAGAAAAAAGGATGGCAGTCTTAGACTCTGTATAGATTATAGATATTTAAACAGAAAAATACATCCAATCATCAGACAATATCCAGACTGAAGATATTATGGACAGTTTCAGTGGCAAGTCCTGGTTGTCACTGCTAGACCAGCTCAAAGCCTAACACCAGGACTTTATGTCCAAAGAGAGCAGACACTGACTGCTTTAGTGACTCTGTGGGGTCTTTACCAGAGGACCACAGAGATCAAATAGGAAAGAGTCCCTTAACAATCTGCTGTATGCCTACAACTGTACACGGTGTAAAGTCACTGGATATTCTCCATTTTACTTTCTGATGAGCTGAACTTTGTCTCTACACTTCTCAAGTGTTCAGCTTTAATCAGACTGCATGAACTTTCTGCCTTGCCCAAAATAATCTGAAGAAGATGTTGAACCTGACGTGCTAAAGTTTAATCTTTTTAAAGAGACGTGCAGGGTGCAGACATTTCCTGTGTACGTGTGAAGGGCAGTGAGAGGGTCCGTCTCTGCGGTTTATGCTCAGTCATGCAAAGTCATCACCTTCTAGAAATAGGGCTTCGGTCCTGAACATGAGCAGAGTTTATCAGTCTCTATCAGTGTTAAAGTCTGTTTTTATGTCAGTTTATTACAATTGAAAACAAAGTAGCTAATTATCGCTTCTTTAATGGCAGGATTTTTTGCTGATAAGTCTCCACCTCAGTACTGGCATTGTATTTTTTCTTGTTTGAATTCATTTTTCAAAAAAATGCTGTGTTGAAAACATAATGACATTCAATAAAACTTTTTTTGAGGTATTTGGTTTTATGTTTCACTTTTTGAATTTACCATTTTTTGAAAAAAATCATTAATAATGATTTGTGAATAATTATGTGGGATATGGGGCTGTTGTTGACTCTGGAACGGATCCGGTGCAGATGCAACAAGTCAGGGCCGGATTCGTTCCAGAGACAGTTGCTTATATCAACTTGAGCTTGGACCTCTTCTGAACTGGGTCTGTGCCACATTTGGGCCAGATATGAAGATAATATTCAGACCTGCACCAATTCAGGGCCAGACGTAACGCTGTTCTTTGCTCATCTGGGCCGGTTTTGGTGCAGATCCGTAAAACAGATCAGTTCCGGTATTGGGCCGTTGTGCAAAAAGACACCGGGCCAGCTCTGCTTTGCGGATCCGGACTGGATGCAGCGCTACATTTGGCCCTAATCAGGCGCAGTGTACATTTGTTGTCTGGGTCTAAAATCCTTCAGTATTTCATTACAAATTTACAACTGCAAGATGGAAAGTCAGGCAAAGGCTTGCAGTACAGAAATAAAAGAAGATTTTTATTGACTCAAGTAATTTAATTGAAAATATTTTGGCGTCAATTTGACTGGATCTTAATATTTCTCCAGCAAATTTCATTTGAACCCCAGGTCCTGGCCAGACAAATTAGGGATTGATTGGATCCAGGAGAAACTCTGTCCAATAAACACAGGACTGGACCCCCACCTGAGAAATGATAAATACATGATGTGTAAATGTTGCATAATCTAAGAGCCTGTGAGACTGTATTCCTGTGAGACTCCTGCCCAAACTTCTCAGAGTTCCCTCCTCTGTCCCCAGTTCAGTTTCAAGTGTGGCCCAAATGTGCAGAATCTCCAACACAGTTGAAAGAGTGATGGTCAGATTTACTCAACATAGCTGGACAATTAATCACAAAGTTAAAAAAGCCATGAGGTCCTTGTCGAGGGAGATGTGTGAGATTTTTTAGCCAGATTTGCTGAAAGTACAGTCCA